CACTGTGGCCCCCCTACTTGAGAGACTCAAAAATTGGAATAAAATTTTGTTTCTTCAATAATTACTACTGTAACTGTATGGCATATTTTAAAACTGTAAAAACACAAATCACATTGGCATCCATGTAAAAGAAAAATGAGGAAATGAGAAATAGAACTACAAAGGAACTTTCTCTCCCTCATGACGGTTTTTGAGAAAGAAGAGGGGAAAAACAGAAAAAACATAACGGAAATGAAATTTTTTCTGTTTCCTCATTTCCTTATATCTCTTAAACCACAATATCTCATGTACATTAACAAGTCTGTGCCACTAGTATCTCATGCTCAATTTATATAAGAACAGTAAAAGAAACTATGAAACAATTTACAAAAACAAAATTTGAAAAGTATATAGCAAATGGGAGAGCAAGGAGAGTTGACAGAATGAATGGAAGAGGAAAGAGAAACATATTTATTGCAAATATATTTTTGTCGGGTTATCTCTTGCCTATTTTGGTATCTTTTCCAGGCATCTTGTTTTCCTCCTTTTTCATTTTTCATTACTTCTTTCATAAGCCAATATTTTTGTAACTTCCAGGCAAACACATGCTGGCAGCTGATGAGTGTGCAGATTCCCCCAAGATGCAAGGGATTAGAACAAAGTTCTGATGTCTCTCATGCAGCCAGAGTGTTTCAGAATGTGAAGAGTTGCCAGTTCATGTTTGGTTATCTTTGTCTAATATGAGCTCAGTATAGGCCCCCAGAACTGCATATGAGGAATATTGTATAGCATCTTCACCAGGAGTAGATTCAATCTCAAGAAACCAACTTCTTTGCTCATCCCTAACAAGTAACTCCTCATCCATGAAAGTTTTATTATGAGATTGCAACAATTCAGTCCCATCGTCAGGCTCCACTTCTAATTCTAGTTCTCTTGCTATTTCCACCACATCTGCAGTTACTGCCTCCACGGAAGTCTTAAATCCCTCAAAGTCATCCGTGAGGGTTGAAATCAACTTCTTCCAAGTTGCTCTTAACATTGATATTTTGACCTCCTCCCATGAATCACCAATGTCCTTAATGGTATCTAGAACGGTGAATCCTTTCCGGAAAGATTTCAGTTTACTTTGCCCAGATCCTTCAGAGGAATCAAGATGGCAGCTATAACCTTACAAAATGTATCTCTTAACTGGTAAGACTGGAAAGTCAAATTTACTCCTTGATGTATGGGCTGCAGAATGGATGTTGTATTAGCAGGAATGAAAACAACATTAATCTCCATATAATCTTACCCTAATCACTCCTTATAGATCTCCATAAGAGCTCTTTTTGGATGACCAGGTTCATTGTCAATGAGAAGTAATATTTTGAAAAGAATCTTTTTTTCTGAGCGGTAAGTCTCAACGGTGGGCTTAAAATACTCAGTGAACCATGATATCAACAGATGTGCTGTCATCCAGGCTTTGTTGTTCCATTTGTAGAGAACAGGAAGAGTAGATTTAGTATAATTCTTAGGGCCTCTAGGATTTTCAGAATGGTAAATGAGCATTGACTTCAACTTAAAGTCACCAGCTACATTGGCTCCTAACAAGAGAGTCAGCCTGTCTTTTGAAATATTGAAGCCAGACATTGACTTCCCCTCTGTAGCAAGGAAGTCCTAGATAGCATCTTCTTCCAATAGAAGGCTGTTTCTCTACATTGAAAATCTGTTATTTAGCGTAGCCACCTTCATCAATGATCTTAGCTAGATCTTCTGGATAATTTGCTGCAGCTTCTATTAACATAAGCACTTGCTGCTTCACCTTGCACTTTTATGTCACGGAGACGGCTTCTTTCCTTAAATCTCATGAACCAACCTCTGCCAGATTCCAACTTTTCTTCTGAAGCTTCCTCACATCTCTAAGCCTTCGCAGAATTGAGGAGAGTTAAGGCCTTGCTCTGAATTAGGCTTTGGCTTAAGGGAATGTCGTGATGGGTTTAATCATCTATACAGACCACTAAAACTCCCTTCATATCAACAATAAGGCTGCTTCATTTTCTTATCATTCACGTGATCACTGAAGTAACAATTTTTATTTCCTTCAAGAATTTTTCCCTTGCATTCACAACTTGGCTAACTATTTGGCACAGAGACCTAGCTCTTGACCTGTCTTGGCTTTTAGTATGCCTTCCTCACTAAGCTCAATCATTTCTGGCTTTTGATTTAAAGTGAGAGACCTGCAACTCTTCCTTTCACTTGAACACTTAGAGGCCATTGTAGGGTAATTAATTGGCCTAATTTCAATATTGTTGTGTCTCCTGGGAATAGGGATGCCAGAAGAGAGGCAGGGAGACAAGAACAGCCAGTCAGTGGGGCAATCAGAACACATACAACATTTATTGATTAAATTCACCATCTTATATGAGCATGGTTTGTGGCACCCCAAAACAATTAAAATAGTAACCTCAAAGATCACTGATCACAGACCACCAGAACAGATATAACAATTTAAAAGTTTGAAATGTTGTGAGAATTACTAAAATGTGACATAGAGACATGCTATTGGAAAAATGGTGCTCATAGTCTTGCTTGACACAGGGTTGCCACGAACCTTCAATTTGTAACATCTGTAAAATGCAGTATAATAAAGGGCAATAAAACAAAGTATAACTGAAACTAAAAACCACGTGTACTTAAATATTTAGTCTCATTCCAACAGTAATGAATTTGTGAATTCCTTGTAATAAAT